ATCTTTGGCTGCTAAAGTATATAATCTAATCTGGTTTCGGTATTGACCATCTGGTGATGTCCATGTGTAGAGTCGTCTCTTGTGTTGTTGGAAAAGAGTGTTTGCTATGACTAGCTTGTTCTCTTGACAACAACAACAACAAGTATACAAAAGTATATACCAATAGCAATAACTAATGGTAGAATTGGTCAATAAGGCAAACATATCATACACCCACAAGGTGCTCCAACCACCCTAGTGTAACACCTGGGAGTACAGCCAGGTCCTTAAGGCCCTCCGGAATGTCATCAAGTGGGAGCCACCTGGGTCTCAGAGGAAACCTCATTCCAGAGGGCAGGCATGGCAACAGAGAAGGCATGCTTCTAGGGTTCTGATAGATGGCACTGCTTGATCAAAGGAACCTGGAGTACACCAACCCTGTTGGATCAAACCGGTCTGGCTAATACCATAGGAGATAGGTGGTCCTTCAAGTAACCAAGCCCTATGACATATAGGGCTTTATAGGTAACAACCAGCATCTTGAATTGCACCTAGAAGCAAACTAGCAACCAATGCAATTCATGAAGCAGGGATGTCACATGGGATACCAAGGCATGCCCATCACTGTACATGCCATTACATTCTGGACCAGTTGACCAGCTTTTGGGTGGTCTTCAAGGTTAGACCCATGTAGAGCATGTTGCAGTAGTCAAGCCGTGAAGTGACTAGATTGTGAGTGATTGTCTGAAGGGCCTCCCAATCTTATTAGAGCTGAACCATTTGTGCATGTGTATGAGTGTTCCTGAGAGAGGGAATCTAACTTGACCAAGGATTAGTGAATATGGTTTATAAATTGAACATAAAGAAGATTTATTTAAGGAAATCCATAGCAGGAATAAGCAGAATCTAGAAATTGTGTGACTTACACTCAATCACGAGCAGGGTGGGACAGACAACAGTTCCATGTATGCGTGCATACCTGTGAACAAGGCAGAAGACCCTGAGATACCAAGCTCATAAACAAAGAGCAGGCAGACTGAAAGACAAGGAAATGGCAACTGAAAATCCCTCTATCAACACTGCAGTGCCCCTAGTGGTCAGCTGGTTGTGAGGCCCTGAAGAGTCACACTTCCAGTACTTCAAAGAGGCATTTTGTTTTGATAAAGCTTCAGATGAAGCGCTTCCTTGAAGCAAAATGGTGAAGCACAGCAGCAGAGTAGTGTAGCCATGATGTTTTTCCTCACTTGAAGAATGTGGTTTCTATCTTGCACCACCAACTACTTCCTTTGAGGCAAAGCTCTTGATTGAGGCCAATCAGCCTTGCTGTCATGCTTCTTGAGGTAGAGTCACACAAAACAAAGCCTCAGATAGAGCATGGCCAGGGTATCACACACTCCTCCTCAATATGCACCACGAATTTAAACACTGTTAAACTGCAAATCTCTCTGCAGTTTAAATGTACAGAGATAGAGGCTCACTGAAGTCTGAGCAGTCTGGCAACATAAATGTAATTGCATATATATTCAGCTGTGCAGATCTTCAAAGGTACATTTGTCTTCAACAGAGGTTCAAATAGAGTGCTCTTTCGAAGGGGACCCATGACTCTCAGGTTCTGATCTGCAGCGTGGTACAGCTATGCCACTTCATTCATCTTCACAATAGCAGCTCCTGTGCATAAACTACACATGCTTAGAAGCTGCTTTCTGTTACATAGATCTCCAACTGAGGCTGACCAAACCCACCTTGATTTGATGTGATCAATCTCTTTGAGGCAAATCCCTTCAAGAAGATATGCCTCTAAGCTAAACAAAAATACACACACCTGACAGCTTTTAAAATAATTTGTTACACTTTCATTGTTTTTTTGTCTTATTTTATGATAGACTATTTTATCAAATTTTATTCAAAGTAGTATTCTTTTTGTGTACTGCTCTAGGATCCTTTGAGAGAAAAAATATATGTAAAAATAACATAATGTAATAAGAAGAAATAAGATGTTGCTGACTTACTCTATTCACACGACTAGTCAAGATAAACTGTGGTTTCCTGGGTTTGGGATTAGCACATTGTATGAATCCATCCATTGAGGTTTATTTAATAAATTCTGGCTAAAATCATCATAAGTCAGTGCAATGAAGTGGTGAAAATTGTCATTGTGTAGTGCCCAAGCATTTCAGCTGTGAGTTGTAAAGTCTCTGTTATCCAGAACAGATCTTGAGTGAGCAGCTAACTAATTTTTGAATTTTCTATTTCGTCATTATCCCCTGCTTTCTGCCTTCTTTCATGATAGAAAGTTCTGGCAAACTTGAAAGCCTGCAAATTTCTTTATGGTATTTTTGTCTGTTCAAGGTTTCCACCTATGATAGATAGATAGATAGGTTTACCTACTTTTTGTACCTCAGTTATGATCAGGATATAGAAAGAAACCATGTAGATGTTTGTGCCTAGTTGTGAAGAGAGCAAATCTTGACTGTCTTCAGCTTCCAGTGAAAAAGGGAAAGGCGTATTATATATATCTGTCTACTGACTTGATTCCAAAATGTCATGCAATATATAGAATTATCTCCCTCAATATTTCTTATCATGATTTATTACTGCAGTAAACAATTGCAGTCTTCTTTCTGGCTGGGGATCATGGGAGCTGCAGTCTAACACCCCTGGAGGTCAACCCTTTGGGGAAAACTGAATAACGGCAAGTTTTCAAATCCTTGAGGACTTGCCTTGCAGTATTTCTGCCCAAAGAAAGGTTTGTTAGGATTCATAGTATGCTTTCATGGCTGAAACTGAATTATAAGAATCTGGAGGTTCTATATTTAGTGAGTGCTAATTATATGTCAGCATGCAATATGTTATATATCTTTGGATCATCTATGAAAAACTGAAAAATCTTCAGCTAAGGAATAAAGGTATTTACTTTCATACTTGCAACACTAAACTTTAATAAAACAATTAAGTCAATAAAGAAAAGTAATTGAGCTTGCAATTCATGGCTATTATGGAACACTCCTCTGTCCTACCACATTTCCTGTTTATAACTATAAGGATTTAAACTTGAATTTTAAATGCCCAGATTAACTCAATGTTGAGCAGAGAGAAGTCAGTTCTTGAGTCTCTGTCTGAGACCTATTTTTGTTTCCTTTTTTTTTTTTTTTCTGGTGAAAGCGCCCTTTCTGCAACCAGCAGGAAACTGAAAAGTAAGTACCTTTCTTTTATGCCAGTAATTTTAACTATCTTTTTAAAGGCTTATTCAAAAAGTTTACAAATCCTACAGCAGGTTGCCAAAGAACCCTATGTCTATTCATTATGATAATCTTCATACATCTTAACTTATCTTTAGTTAAGTGGAAAGAAACTTCAATTAATATTTGTTGGGAAGAATTAATGTTTGTGCTTAATAATCATTACTTTATACAAGAGATACCTGTTGTTTCTTGTATCTTTTTGACCTCTGAGGCCTATGCTTTGAAAACTAAAAATCCAACTGGCTAAGTTTTGATTAATTCTCATTTAGGAAATCCTTTCAAACTTAACAGGGCATTTTTATCCTGGTTCAGGGTTATTTAGTCATACAATGGACTGGGGAGGCCTCCAGAACTTTATTTATGTCACAAATATATATAGAAGAATGTTTGTTTGTTCCAAGGTAAAGACAGAATTATAATTCTGCTATATAGGTTGCCTTGCCTTTGAGCGAACCTGTATGGAATGAGAAAACAATAAACCATAGGCAATTTCTTAATTAAAACAGTTGATACTCTTGGAGATCTGGATCCCCTAACATGATTCTTCTGGTAAGTATACTTACCTTAAGCTGCAATCCCATACATGTCTACAGTGACGCAAGTCCCAATGAATTCAATTAGATTTATTCCCAGATAAGTGTGTATAAGACAGCAATCATTATTCTCTTTTCATACATCAACTGTTTAAAACGTGGAATTTTTACTCCATTTAGTTCATACTGTTTGTGCTCATTTGTATTTTCTTAATTACTTCAGTACCTTTGAGATTTCCCCTCCTGTGATATGCTTGTAAAATGGCATAGTTTGACAGTAAAGGCAGCAGAAATGTATCCAATATTTTCTTAATATTCCAAGAATTACTTTGTTCTTTTAAGCTTCTACATATTATGTTCGATGAGTGTGTTGGCATGCTACCACTCTTTCTATGACATAGAGATTTTATTAATCCTAGTTGCTGATCTTCCTTTAGCCACTACTTTATTTTCATACTTTCTCAACACAAAAGTTATCTATACAGTGGAATACCCAAACAGCATTATGTTGTAATCTGGACACTTTTTGAGAAAATAATGCTTTCACATATAATGACAATTGAATGGATTAAGTCTAACTGAGGTGGTTGCTTTAAGACAGGTCCACACAAGGTTGCAAAAACAGGTTGTAAGCTAGGAACATTACTGATAGGAAATAAAGATTCTGCTCCTGCATACTCTTTTTTCAGAAATGTGTGTCATTATTCCTCTAAGATCACATATTCCAGTGGCAATAGGAAACGGACGATTATAGATATGCAGTTAAAAGAACATCTCAGCAATTTTGCACGATGTATTAACCCCAGCATATCTAGAAGGTAACAGTGGGAGAAGTCTGATTAGATTGTGTTAGAGCTGATATGAAGGGAAACATGAACGCATACATATTGTAGTCTTAATATATGTACAGCAATAATATCCATGGAATCAGTTATTATTAGGATTACATTCTGGCCAGAATTTGAGAATATTGGGATAGTTGTTACCAAAGATTTTGATAGTATTATGTACCATATATTCTATAAAAATAGAATAGCTAATATTAAAAACAAAATGACAGATATGAGTTAAGATGATTACATTTCATTTGAAACAATTCTGTTGATTTCAGAAAGGGTTATCTAGATATCCTCTAGCCATAGGTAGACATATCAAAGCTCCAAGCAATGTTACTCCAGAGCCCCTCCAAAAGTTTGCCTCTCAATCGTAATTTGAATGTAAAAGAAAGGAAATAAATAAATAAATGGATAATAATATGAATGGCATTCATTTAATTTTAATTACAGTAAATCAAATTTAAATGTTCTTCTGTCATACTTCTCATCTTGGCCCCATTTACTTTTTACAGTCCAGTCCTGCCAGGATACCCACCCCCACCCATCCTGCTAATCTCTGGCTCTAATGCTCTTGTGCTTATCTGTTTCTGATGCTGGCTCTCTCATTTGTTGTTTCTTGCCTTCTTGGTGGCCTCTCTCTCATAAGCTTTCTCATTCTATTGTTTGCTGTGTTCTCTTCGTCTTTCGATTGCTCTCTCATCTATCTCTTATTTGCTCAGCTTTCTTGCTTGCTTTTGCTCACTTCAGAGTTTTATTCACTCACTTGTCTTTCTTGTTCTCTCTTGCTCATCTGCCTCAGCCTTTTTAAAAACATTTGATAGGCAACCCCTGCCCTGCACTTCTTGCTTCAACTACTGCCAGTATGTATGCCTGTCAGTGAGGGCAAAGTGTTTTTGTCTTTTAACCTGTGTAGATAAGCAGTCTGTGGAATGCCTGGCCAGTGCTTTGCAATGTGCCAGGCAGGCATTTCACAGGCAGATACTTGATCTTTCCTGCTGCCCAAGCCAAAATGGCCATGGAGGGAAGTTGGCGGCAACTGCAGAGTAGTGGCATAGCCACAGCAGTTAAAAGTGGCTGTTAGGAGCTGGGCAAATCATGGCCTCTGCTGCGTTATTATCATAATTGCTATAGAAATGCCACAAAGTGTACATTTAGCAAGGCTTGTGATGGGAGAAGATTAAATGCAAAAATTGCTGAAGAGTAGGGAAGGGGGATAGTAGAGAGCTGACCAGTGGAGGAATAGAAAAAATAGTGCTCCAGTCAGTGCCTCCACAACTGGGTGATTGAAACTTTGCCTTTTTTTGCATGCATGCAATGCTGTACCACACATTAAAAGGGGTAGAGCTTTGATTTCCCTGCTACACTTGCCACTATGAAGCCAGTGACCATCATTGCAGATACCCCTGACCACAGTCCTCACTGTTTCCTCATTGCATTTGTTTTTGCAGTAAGGAAAACTGTGGCAACTGTGAATTCAAAGCAGCAAACAATGATGGTTGAAAGATACCAAAGCACTTTTACTTCAGGAGAGAGGAGAGGCAGGACAAGGCAGAAATCTGTACTGGCAGGAAACCGTTTGCCCCATGGCTCCAGAGAGAATGTTGCAAGCTGCCTTTGCAGTGTTTTCTCTGAGCCAGAAGTTAATCAGCATAGCTGGGGAAGACTGAGTTTACAGCATTGTGGGGACACAGGCATGTGGTGCCAATCCTAGAATACATTTCACTGAATTCACTGTTTTGTTTTGTTTTGTTTAATGTTGACATGCTCAATATTCTTCTATGTTCTCCTATATTTCTCTTATGTTTTCAGTTGGCATTAGTGCTCCTTACTATGTATGATCTCCAACCTGAGTTTTGGAGAACACGAAAGAGTAATAATTAGTGTGATGCTTTTGGATGGTTTCATTAAGATGTTCCCACTGATATACACAAACTGTTTTTAAAATATGTAAATTTGTCAGCAAAACAAATATTGCACATTAAAAAAAACAGTTCAACAATACAGTGAATTCAGTGAAATGTATTCTAGGATTGGTGACACATGCCTGTGTCCCCACAATGCTGTAAACTCAGTTTTCCCCAGCTATGCTGATTAACTTCTGGCTCAGAGAAAACACTGCAAAGGCAAATATTGTACATATTTTTCACTTCCCTAACCTTAAAAAAGGTGTGGAGAATCTCTTACTTTTTTTTGTCATTCATGCAATGGTTTCAAAATTTCTTAAAAAATAATTTACAACCTCTCTCATACATTCTTCATAGAGCTTGCAGATTTAGCACAAAAATGGAAACTTAGCACAGAGTTTTTCATTTCCTATATTCCTATATGCTCATTTTTTAAACATTCCTGAAGCAGGATTTGAATCTTCTCCTTTCTTTAGTAATTATATGCTAGTTGTTTACTGGTTCTGTCTCAGTATTAGAGAAATGGATATGCATTGTTTAAATGGATGGACAAATAAAATTACACATCTCAAATGGGAACACACAAGCACACACACAATTGCTTATTCAGAATTTGAACATGTCTCATATAGAGAATGCATCCTTATCCAAAACCATTTGATTCTTTCAAGGAAAAAAAAAGTTAGTATCTGTATGTGTTCGTGAAATTCACAACACAGGTATAAATTCTAGCATGTTAAATTAATGCTACATTGCAAATTTTAAATGAACAAAGTTCTTATTTTTGTTTATATTTGTTCTCTTATTACAGGAATGGAGAATAATCAGTGTACCATTTATTGGATACCTCTTTGTTTTGTAACTGTAATTATGATAATTTCTTTACTGAAAAACATTTCATACTTCTTAAAAGACAAGAAACAAAAAGGTAAGGAAAGCTGGAGGAACAGATGTAAGAGAGAGAAGCATGATTGTTAACAAAAAATGTTTTCTTTTCCTATGATAGAAGTTCCTATGATTTGCTATAGGAACTACAAGTATTAATATTACATATGAATAATAAAATAATCTCAGATTTTTTTAGATCAAATGTGAGCAAATACAAGTTCAATTAAAAGTTATTTAGGATTAAATAAATTAGCAATTCTAATACACAATAAAGCACAGGGAGAGGCGATAGCTGAGTAGTAGATCATACAGAACATGTTTACTTACATACAAAACACATTTATCCCTGGGATAGGGATGGTATTATATTTATAGTACAATGGTTTTTGACCAATGGCCTGCTCATTGTTGCTGATTTCAATTGGAGTATAACAATACCTAGAGCATTGTAACTTCTATATCTTAACATAAACCTAGACTATACTGTACCAATATACTGATCTGGTATAAATCAATCTGATAATATAATGAAGAGGTAAGTGATATATTGTCTCAAAATATATTCTCTGACAAGAATATATATATTTGCATGTTTGAAGACTTTTAAATTAAACTAAGCCTTACATTAATCTGACTAAGATGATGGCAGTGAACTACTGAAAATAAGGTGAATTAGATTTGGAGGCAAGACAAAACAGGAAATGCAACAATTTCAACTAGAATAATGTAAGTTGTAAATTACAGAAATAGCAGGAAGTACAGTTTCACTTTCATCTGCAGTGGAATAAAAAGAGAAATGCTTTATCTGATCTCCAGTGGAGGCATCAGTAAAAGCAGTGGTAATTTTAACTAAGCCACATTAAAAATAATCTCAGGTCACATATATTTATACTTACAGGATATTTTAAGTTGTGGTTTAACAAGAAGCATCTCTCATTCCAAGAGTAACCATGTTTTCCACTCTTGGAATGCTGTGCCTTGCATAATTAGAAGAAACTCTAGGCATTTGATAAGTTCAAATCTCCTTTAGTAATCGACTGTTATAGCTTGATGGCTGTTGAAGTTGCTTCCTATTTCCAGCAGTTTCTAGTGATTACCTAAGCTCCCGAATTCATATCACTATATGCAAATACCTCCAGGTATCATAGAAAAGCCCTTACAAGCTAAAGAAGAAATTCTATAGTCACTGCCAGCACCATCACAACCATTCCTATCCAAAAAACATAAATAGCCCAGGTTATGATCTCTCCAACCTAGAGTTAATTTAAAAAAAAAAAACCAATAATAAATTCAGCAAAAATTCAGAAAATTTGTGGAATACCGCAGACCAAAGGTACAATATGCATACATATATTTAATTCTATTTCTTTTTGTCATAGCACTGTTATAGAAATTACAGAATGGGAATAACAAAACAGTGAGCAAAGATATGAAAGACATGAGACAAGAAATGGAAATACTGGTCAATGAATCTTAACTCAGTACCATTCATTTAGAATCCATTCATTCTTGCCCCTATCGCTTCTTGTTTTATCACACAATCTTTTTAAGTACCCCATTCCTCTTGGATGCAACTTTTATGTTTGTCCTGACAAACCCAACTCTCATTTACATATAAAAAGTAAATACAAACATACTCTTATACACAGCCATTGTTGCTTTTTTCAGCAAACATTTGTGCCTCAGATCAGCTCACATGTTACCCACTATCTTTCCACTAGCATTTGCATTTCTTAAAATTCCTCCATCCAGTTATCATCTTTCATAAATATTCTACCAAGGTACACCCATAACAATCTATTTGCTTTTAGTTTTTTGCCATTAACTTTCAATCATTCATTGCATTTTCCCTATTAAAAATAATTAATTTAGTCTTTGATATATAAACATTCAGATCCATACTATTTGTTGCATCAAACCATATAACTTTTGTTGCAGATAATTCAGATTCTCAGCCAACACAAATTCTTCTGCATCAGAACTACATTTATATCCACATTCCCAGCAATACATCTCTGCAAGCATTCCTTATATATTTTTCCATAGATACATTTAACAATCAAGGAGACATTACATATTCTGTCTTCCTTTTTGCTCAGTAACATTCCATTTATTCTCACACATGCTTACTCTTAGCATCTTCAGCAACTAACCGTCAACTCCATATCTCCAGTGAAAGTTGCATAATTCAATCTATTCTCTTTATCTCTATGTTCTAAATCAACATACATGCAGTCAACATTCTTGCCACATACGTTTCTCAAATGCTTGCTGAAGAGGGGGAAAAAAAATCTGCATATAGTACAATATTGCCAGTGTCTATTTCCTGAAAACAGTTGTAGGCTATATGAGTATATAGAAACATTTTGGACATACAGTAACTGGAGCTCTGCTCTATACAAACTTACAAAGCAGTCTACATGCAGAATAAACACTGGATATAGCTGGAGCTCTGCTCTATACTGCATAGAGACTCTATACTGCATAGAGACTGCTTTGTAGATTTAGCAAGTAGAAAGAGCAAGAGTAAGTGGAGAGTGGAACAGAGGGCATACGGTGAGTTCTGGCAGAAGGAAGACCAGAGAGAAAATAGGTAACAGAAAACTAAGTAGTACCAAGGAGGTAGCACCAAGGAGACATACCAGTTAGAAGTGTATGAAGGGAAAGGGGAGAACAGAGATCATCCCATCTCATTATATCTTTATGAAATCTCATTTTGGAGTATCTTTATAAAAAAGAAGCAGAAAGAAGTATCACATCTTAAAAAAAATAAGTTACATTGAAATGTAAAACATATGCTTATTTTTAGTTTTGCTGATTTCTTCAAATATTTTTCAGGCAAAATTTATGAAGATTATAATGAATATAATCCAAGGTATGGCAAATGTCTTTTTTTTTTTTTTAAGGTAGTGTGCTTGTGTGTTGTGCTGGATCCATGCATGAAAAGACCTTTATCCAGTAGATTCTAGATCCCAGTATAATATATGTGGCTGCCAACTGATGCATTTTTGGCACCCTTCAGGCTGCAACTAAAATTATTTTGATATTGTTCTTTAAAATGGGAACCTAATTTGCTGGAATTGGTAATAATATTCAGTATGTTGGAAATAAAGTACCAGATTCAAGTATCCCTTTATTTCCAAGAATGTCCTGGATACTGCATATAGCCTAGAAATATTCTGAAAAAATTAAAACAGTAGGAGGTTGCAGTCATTTGCAGGGTGACTTCTGCTTTTTAAATGGCCACATCAACTATGGCAGCCATTTGTGAGCATACCCATAACATGGTCTGAAAATTTCAATTGTTCTGAATGGGCCAAAAAGACTGTGACTATTTGCTGTAGATGTTCCTATATTCAACTACTGAGAAGTGAGAAAGAAACAGTTTTCATGGACCTTTCATACTCCATGATTCCATGATTCCTGCAGTCCCCACATCATCTTCCAAGTTGCATCAGAGGGTTTTTGCAAACATACTGAGGAGATTTTCAGGCAGCTGCTAGAAATTGCAGAGGAGAAATCAGAAGAAACCATTTTTGTACCTTCCATGATGGACATCAGGAATCCGTTTCCAAAAATGAAAATCTGGATATTGGGATCCAATATATTATTTTTAGCCAGATAGTTTTTTATTCATTTATTCAAAAACAAACAGTTGGAACTCATGGAGTCCTTGGGGCTCTCTGAGATTGGTTGTTTTCTTGCTAATGTTTTGTTACCTGGCTAGGTAACATTTTCAGTGCTAGAATGGAATGGGGTTTGCTCTTTGTTAATATACAGTGGCATGCCCTGCCAGTGTTGGTCGGGTGGGGGTTTTCTTTTGTTTTATTTTTTCCCCCCTCTGGTAGTTCCTTAATTAGGGTATTGTTTACTGCTTGATTGTACGTCTGGTGATAATCTTGGTGTTAATCTCTGC